ATTGAACAGCTTTCATTCTCTCTAGTCATTTTCACACTCAAATTATGGTCTCAACACCAATCATAATTTTTCTCCAATTTTATAAAATCAATTAACTTTATATATTATTTTTCCTATTTTCTTAATTTTTATTTTATTCTACATACATTTTAACTTCTGAGTTAAAAAAATATATATGGGATGAAAGTAAATACGAGCAGTAAAGCAGTTTTTACTGCTCTACTCGTTAGACAAATATAATAAATGGTTACTAAATGAGTTAGTCCGATTATTCTATTTTTTAATTATTTTAAAAAAATTATATTTATCTAAAATATCCCTTAAATTAATAATTAAATTTTCATAAAACTTAAATATAAATACTTTAAAATGTTAAATATTGGATTCGATTGTAACCCTATTTTTAAATCGGTTGGGTTGACTCGATCACTTGGAAAGTCCTGCACCCTTTTATTTATTTCTTTTACTCGTTATTGCAATTTATCCTCGCTCTTTTCTTCCTTTCTTTACAAATGGCAATCGCTCCCGCTTGCACGTTCAGGCTCATTGCGTTCCTTCTCCTTGACGTGTCTGCGCGGGCTCCGCCAGCCGTTCTAAGCACGTGCGTGCACCCACCGTCGCCTCGATCACGCCTATGTCCGTTCCGAAGTATGGGCTCACCAGACATTTCACTCACCACTGGGCCCTTTTTCTTATTGGCCTACCTGCTCTGGTAGCTCTCCATGCAGGACAACCATTAGAATTAGTAACTATCACGGCAGTATTATGTAAAACGTAATGTTACTTCACCTACATAGTGGTGTACGCGTTTGTACCCTTGTGATGAGAACTAAAATATTGTAAATTCTTAGTCAACCTAATATTTTAGTTTTTTAAAACATCAAAGCCAACTCAACCCAAAAAAATCTAACTCGAGCCCGAGTTGTTTAGTTTTTCAAAAAATATTTATGGTAAATTAAAATTCATGTCTTAATGGGTATTTAATTTTGTATTGAAAAAAAAAAAAAAAAAAAAAAACGTTGGGCCGGTTTTAATTTAATTGTACGGGCCTTAATGAGATCCAGGTTAGCCACAATACACAACCCATGGCCTCTAGTTCAACCTATGTCCTATAAAATATTACATTTTTTATTATTTTATTTTTAAATTGTAATAACTCTACGATTTTACGAGTTTTACCTCAATTAGATAGTGTCCGCTTTGGCTCATTATGTGAATTTTAAAACGCGTCTCAATGTCTTCGTTGGCATACTGCTTTGGTGTTTGGCTCTGATACCATTTGTAACAGTTAATTATCTGTTACGTATTGCCGTTAGCCTCACGGTATTAAAACACGAATACTAGAGAGAAGTTTCCACACCCTTATAAGAAACATTTTAGTTAAAAATTTAGGGCGAACACGAATTATGTTAGGTTAGTTGAGAAATTCTTTTGAACAAATTCGAAAACTTTAGGTCAATAATTCAAACAATCTCAATAAAGTTTACAATCCAACCTAACTCAATCTATCTTTCTATTCTCGAGTTGAGATTGGGTTGTTAAATTATTTTTTAATATTATTTAAAAAAAATTATGGTTTCGGATACATATTATATTAATAACTAAAATTTTATAAAAGTCAAATATTCATAATTTTCTTAATAATCGTAAAAGTAGAGTAGGGTTCACGTGGATTGTAACCTTAAATTGATGTTGGTTGGGTTTATCGGTTATTTGGGTTGTCCTGATTATTTGGGTTCTCGAGTTATATGATTACGTTAGTCGTCGAACCCTGCTTAGGTTAACCATTTAAATATAAATAAATAAATAAAGTATTATTAAATATATTGAGAAATAAATCCAATGGGCAAAAAAGGGTGTGGTTAGAGCACACGGTTTAAAGGCCCATTCCGCTGCTGATTCCCAATTGGCCATTTTTAGGTTCAGACATCACTGACCAGATTTGATCTCTCACAATTCCGTTTATATTATTAAATTCAATAAAATTATATTAAAAAAAATAAACTATGATGTGTCAGCGTCGCACACGATTACCCTACCACAAATTTCAAAAGCCGGTAAACACGTGACACTCGAATAAAAGAGAAGTACATAAATGAATCGATGTTACATTCAAATAAAAGAAACGAATTGAAATTTACTATCTCTTTCCTTTTCGATGACTCAATTATAAGAATTAAAAAAGTTAGTTAAACGATTTGCTCGAAGAAGCAGAGAAATGTTGATGCTATCAAGTACCGAATTCGAATTTTGGACACGGATCGTTAAAAGTTCGCTGTAATTTTCTCAACTTAGTTTTGGTATATCTTTAATTTCAAGTATAAAGCTTCATTGATTGATGACTCTCCTCATTAATAGCAATCTTGTAAATTAAGTTTCATTTTAATTACGTATAATATCTTCTCGAAAACTGTAATAGTTTTAGGATAATTATATGTATTTTTAATCGTCTTTTAAAATAAATAAAATTCGGACGTTTTGAATTAGACATATGTTTAAACGAGGGTGAAATTTGTCATTTATTAAATTTCTCGTATTATAATAATTATAAATTTATACATAAATTTAAAATTTTACTAATAAATTTTTAGATCGGATGGGATTATGATTACGTTCTTAATTTGGAAGCAAAGTTGAAAAGGTAATTAATGTACATAATTAAAACAAAGTAATTAAGTGTATGTATTCTCAATGCATGCCTAATACAATCAATCTTAATCTCTAATTAATTTTCTAATTGAATTAACAACATTTTTTAAATTTAATTTAATTTAATTTTTTTTATTTCCTAATAATAGGATGGAAATTTCAAATTCTGCCAAACAATTTGTCCACCTTTTGACAGCTTTCTTTCATACCTTCTATTTTTATTATTATTATTAAAAAAAAATTAATGTTGACTCCTCCAATTAATTAACAATAATTATTAAAAAAAAAAAAACCACTCATTATAATGTCTTCATTTTCTCTTGCACATCCACTAAGATCATTACTTTTGGAAGAGCTATATATAAATATAAAAAGCAAAGGGTATTTACGTAATATTCTATGTCTAAGATCTGACATTCGATAATCCTGCTTTAAGTTTTATAGACGAACGTAGGTTCGTTCAAACTGTTTTGTCTTTACTCATAGGTCAACAAACATAAAAAATTATGTTTGAGCCATTTGTAACAGCTCATGCTCACTGCTGATAGATATTATCCGTTTTGGCCAGTTACGTATTGTCGTAAGTCTCACAGTTTTAAAACACATCTACTAAGAAGAGGTTTCAACTCTCCATCCAATGTGGGATCTCACAATCCACCCCCTTAGGGCCCAATGTCCGCACTGGCACACCGCCCGGTGTCTGGCTCTAATATCATTTGTAACAGTTCAAGCCCACTGCTAGCAGATATTGTTTGCTTGGATCCGTTACGTATTATCGTAAGTCTCACGGTTTTAAAACACGTCTACTAAGGAGAGATTTCAACACTCTTATAAGGAATGTTTCGTTCCCCTCTCTAACTAATATGGGATCTCACAATCCACTCCTTTAAGGCCCAGCATCCTCGCTGGCAAACCGTCTAGTGTCTGGCTTTAATATCATTTGTAACATTCGAAGCCCACCGCTAGTAGATATTGTTTGCTTTGGCTCGTGACGTATCATCATCAGCCTCACAGTTTTAAAACTTGTCTTCTAGGGAGATGCTTTCACATCCTTATAAAGAATATTTCGTTTCCCTCTCCAACCAACGTGGGATCTCACAATCCACTCTCTTAGAGCCAACGTCCTCATGTACCAAGACGTAAAGCACCATGACAAAAATTTAATTTATGTATATAAATGAGTTCGTTGTAAGGTCATTTGCTAATCTCATTTGAAATAATTTTAATTGGAGAAGAATCTCCAACTTGATTGATGGAGGATTTTGAAGATAGTGACTGAAAAAGAATTTTCTACCTTTGACCTAAACTTTTAATTCATTTATAACATAATTAACTTTTTATTCTTACAAAAACAAAAAGACCACAAAGAGTTGACTAAAAATGTAACTCTAACTTTGACCAACATTATAAAAATGGAAATATGAAAAATTAAATGAAATTAATGCATTTATGATGACCTCTTAACTCAATAATGTAAATTTAACTTTTGTTTAAAAATAATAATAATAATTGATTTGTTACTGTTTATTGTCGAGCATGGATTCCTCGTTTAAAAAAAAAAAATTACATTGAAAGGATAAATCATATTTAAATTACTGAAAAAATAATTTATAAAATTGTCACGAGACAAACTCATACATTAAGTAAGAGTGTTCATATGACCCTGATGACCCGAACAACTTAGACTACTCAACTCAAACTATGAAAATTGGGTTGGGTTAGTTTTTTTTCGGTTTGCTTTATCGGGTCAATCTGACTAACTCGATCCACCCGAAAATAGGGTTTACAAACCAACATAAACCTAAGATTATTATGAAAATTAAAAATATTTGACTTTTTGTTGACTTATAAATGTTTGATATTTGAGCTGAATGAGAAATTAGTTATTAATATTACATGTATTATGGATAAGTAAGATTTTTAAAATAATTAAAAAAATGAGTCATCCGACAACCTTATTCAAGTCATCGAGTCACCGACTAATTTTATATATTTAATTTTAATTCCCTAGAAATCAAAATAAAAATTGAAATGTTTTAATATTATTTATATGTAAAGTCGAGTCGTTAATCAACCGAATAATTTAACGCTAAATTGATTGAAATAATTTAAATAGATATTTATGTATTTTTTTTTTTTAAATTCTTCACAAAAGTCCAAGTTCATCTATTGGTTGGATAGAGTTCATTTAATTATTTAATTTTAATAAAAAGAATAATAGAAACACGACAACAAAAACCAAGAATTAAGATTAAATGATGTAAGTAGCAATGTTTAATTATATTGTTTAATTAATCATGATTAATTATCAAAAAAAAAAAAAAAAAAAAAA